ATTCTCCAGCCAGCATGCTGGCTGGAGAATTCTGGGAGTTGAAGTCTACACATCTTAAAGTTGCCAAGGTTGAGAAACACTGATCTATTGGGTCAGCTCTGAGACTTTTTAAAGCCAACACAACCTTTTTTTTTCCTTCTATTTTTTTTAGAGAGCTCAGGAGCATAGCTGGGTGAGTGATTCATGTGCCAAGGCTGTGGCTCATGATGAAGGATGTGTTTTTCTCCCATCATATAGCAAAAGGGATTGGCTTCCTCTTGATGAGCTCTGTCTTCATGGAGGTAAGACGGCCAGATCAGCAAATCGCAAGAGTTTGCTTTGTTCCTTGGAAATTATCCTGGACTCAGACACCAGGACTTCCTGCCCACAACTGACAGAACTCTTACTCCATATGTTGTGAAAGGAGGTAGAATTCAGCTGGGGAGAAGTGGAACTGAATGATGTGTATTAGGCAGAAAATGTACCTGGTGGGCTAGAGAGAGATTCTTGGATGGGTTTTCCAACTGAATGGTTTTTCATTAAAGAAAACGGAGATTCTCAAAAGTATATATTTAATGAAAACAGCAAGTTTCTAGACTTCATCATGGCTGGGATTTCAGTTAATGGATTAAAACAAAAAGAGACAGGCAGGAGGGAGGACAGCAAATAGAAACCATTCTAGAAGCAAGCTGAGATCTTTCTCCTTGATTCTAAATCCCTGCTGGGGATTTTGCTCCTTGCCCCCAAAAGAAGAAAAAAGTTGGTCTCCATTCAAACATGGTCAGATCTGGGTGTTGAGTGGGCACCTTCTTCCCCTTGTCCAAGAAAGACCGTCTTATCTATCAGTACAGAAACTAGGATGGAGGCATGCAGTGGACATGAATAAAATGAACACAGCGTATTATGTGACATGACCTTTCCCCACCACCACCAAGAGGAAGCCAGCTGTTGAATAGATTTTGGATGCCTGTCCTCATTCTGCTAGCAGAAAAATAACATCATATAATGTTATATGTATATTATCGTTTCCCACAAGTCTCCCTTTCAATTCCTTTAGAGCAAAGAAGCAAGTTTCTAGCCCTTACAATGATGTTCCAGAATAGCAGAACCACGTGGACTTAGATAGCACCAGGGAAACAGAATGGTTGAAATCCAGCTAGTGATAGTATGCTCTTAATAGCGTGCTCCTGACAAGTCTAACATAGGTGTAATTTTATGCAGAGCTGCAGTGCAAAAATTCTAGAGAAGACATTTGACCAGTGGTTGAGATATAAAGATGAATGTTTGAAGAAGATGGCAAATGATCCTTACCCTTCAGGTAAGAATTTGTATCTTTGGTGAACTGTGAATCATAGGAACAATGGTATCTTGGGGGCAAAATGTTTTTCTTATGTGCTTTTTGTGTTGTGAGCATAGCAGGAAGCAAACTTAGTGGCTATGCTGTGAAAATGACCATCAGACTTTCTTCAAAGTAAGCTTAATAATGGCCCAAGTTGTCTTTTCCTACATTCAGTTTCTCATGGCAACCAAACAGATACCAGGAAAACTCCCAACCATGAACAGAAGGGCCATTGTTGCTTCTTCCCATCTGGATTTCCAGCATCAAAATGTGTGATTCCGATGTGCCCAAGCTGTCACTTGTTTGCAGTTAACCCAAGATTACAAGCCACATCACTACTTCCACTTGTCTTCTTCACTACTGTATCTCTGATGATGGTTCCCTATTTGTTCGTTCATTGATTTAAAGGACTGTTTATGCTACTTACTATGGAAATGCACCTGAAAGCAGACCACATTAAATGTAAGGGGGAAAAAATATATAAAATCAGATGTATTAAAAGGTGATGGAAAAGGAAAAGAAAAAAAGCTGTTTGCCCAACATTTGCAGAAGAGAAGCCTTGATAAAGAGATAAGTCTTCAAGAAGTGCTTTGAAGATACAACAGTGGAGGAAGAGAAAGCATTCCAATGCCCCCACCTAGAAGACCTGCCCAAGACCTTCCCTGTCCCACAACCTCCCATGATGATCTCAGTGATCAACCAAGTCTGGGAATAATGGGACAGGCATTCATATTTAAATAGAGAGGAGGAGCTGAGAAAAGGATTTCCTCCAAGCTGCAGAAGTTTCATCTTCTGACTTCTGCAAATCAACCTGTTGCTGTTAAACAGCCTTCCCTGGCTTGGCATACCTCCAGATATGCTGAACGATGGTTCCCAGTTACTCACAAAGAGCCCATTTACTCGTCAGGTTCCTCCCCATCACTTGTTCAGGCTCCTGGAATATCTCAAGTTTGCCTTTGTCTCTTTTTCTGGAAGTGCCCTACCTATCCAGACAAAGTCCTGCAAAGCAACCCCTTCCTCGTCTCTTATTTCTCAAGGATGCTGCTAGGGCCTGTGTGATATTGGAGGCATTCGCTGAAGATAAAGATGAGGCTGAAGGCTGGTGTTTTGCTTCCCATTTAATTGTTTTAATTTAAGAAGTCTTACAAATGACTAAGAGCCAGTGTGGTGTTGTGGTTAAGGCACCAGGCTAGAAACTGGGAGACTGGAAGTTCTAGTCCCACCTTAGGCATGAAGCCAACTGGGTGACCTTGGGCCAGTCACCCTCTCTCAGCCCCCGGAAGGAGGC